GTTTCACTTAGTTCCTTTTCTGGGGTTTTGTCCTGTTCCCTTACTTGGAATGTATTCCTTTGCCTCCTCATTTTGCCTCTTTCCCTGTGCTTGTGTCTATGTATTAGGTAGGTCAACTAGGTCTCCTTCTCTTGGATAGGTGACCTTATATAAATGATGCCTTATGAGGTCCACAGTGTGCTTCCCTCAGTTCTGGATATTCCAGGAGTGACCCCTATGTGGGCTATGTGTGTCCTTCTGTTGTGGCATGTTTGCTCTCCCTGTAGGTGCCCAGGGAGGCTGTGCTATGCTCCTGGCCAGCTGTTGTAATGCTCAGCTGCTTGTAGTTGTTGTGGACCCTTCAGTCTCTTTATCGGGTTGGGGAGCCCCAGCACAGTTGGCTGCAAGGTCTAATAGCACATTTGTGTTTCAGTATTTCTTTTAAGTGAGTAGGCCCCCAGTGTGGCTGGTTGTTAGGCTCAGGGGCTTACAATTGGTATAAGCCTCCAGCCTTTAGGTCTCTTGTCAGCTCACTGAAGATTGCAGCTGGGTGGGGCTGGCCTCAGGCACAGGAGCACCCAATTGTTTCAGGCTTTGGAAGGTGGGGCAAACTCCCTATGTGGGTCTTTGAGAAGCACAAGTCTTCTGCAGCTGACAAGCCCTGCCACCCACAGGTCCACATACACAGTCAACACAGTCCTGCCCTGTGTGTGCACCCCAACCTCCTGAAGTAGACCCAGTCTCTCCATGGTGGGAGCCCCACACACCCCACTACCACCCCACACTCTCCACCTGCTCCTTGTGCACCCCCTCTCCACTGAAGTGGCAGTCACCAGGCTGCAGAGAATCCAGTCACCAATCTATGCAGGCCCACGAGTTGCCTGAGGGCTTGTTGTTGGGTGGGGCCAGTCCCTACTGTGCGCTGCCTGCCCTGGCTGAGCTGGATTAAATCGTTGCTCTAGTGGGTGGGGCAGACCCTGGGCTAGCAGGCCCCAGGGAGAACTCCAGTGGCATGTGCCAGTGTCTGTGTCAGCACGCCCACATCAGGCCACAACAATGGCCACCACCATTCTCCCAGTCCCTGGAGAGGTCTCACCTCTCACTGAGATGAACTCAGAGCCTATCAGGTGAGTCTCTTTTCACCAAAGCACTGTGAACCTTTCTTTCTGGTGATTTTAGGTTGCTTTCTGAAGCAACCTAAAGGGTGAATTTGTGCATGGGCCCTTTAAGGGCCGGTTTTAATTTCTTTGTGAACCAGCTTTTCTGGTGGTAATCCCCAATGTTTTAGTAGCAGACAAAGTCAGATATTATGCCACTCATCTCGATTGTGCTGGGTCCACAAAATGCCTACAGCAGGGGTGCTCCCCGGGCTCAGGGCCCCCGCTCCTCCAGGGAGGGCTGCTTACCTTTGGGCTGCTCCCAGGCAGCCGTGAAGCTGGCGGCTTGTGAAGGTGGCATTTTTTCTCTCCAGAAAGGAATTTCTGCCTCTTTCACCTCAATTAGGATTATCGTTTATTGCAGGAGTTCCTCTTATCCAGTTTTCAGTTCTCTCTCAGGGATAATTTTTCCATGAGTAGTTGTAAATTGGCTGTGTCTGCGGGAGGACATGAGTTCAGAGTCTGCTTATGCTGCCATCTTGACTTTTCTCCTCTCAATAGTTTTAATTTAAATAAGTAAACAACCTTATTCATGATGTCCTTATGTCCTCCTGCTGTTTTGTCTGAAATGATCGATTCTATGGGTTGCTTGAGCTATGATATCTGCAAGGTAAGGTAACTCCAAAATCTGCCAGGGTACAGCAGCATTCTCTGTGCCCCTCTGAACTGTCATGAAGTACTGGCTCTATAGCCTCAGGGAGAGTAACGAGCAACACAGTGGGGGCTTATGGGGCTCCATGGCAATTAAGCTGGCCAGAAGAAAATGAAAGAAAAAAATCATAAGATTATGAATGATGAATTTCCCTTCTTATTTCTCCTAGGTGAGCCTTTTTCTCAGGAAGAAATGGAAGAAATGTTGTCTGCTGCAATTGATCCAGAAGCAAATTCAATTCATTACAAGGATTATATAACAATGATGGTGATAGATGAAAATTAAACTCTCTAAAGACTTAATTTCTAATTGAAAGGATAATTTTAAAAATTGCTTGTCTTTGTTGATTTCACATTTTATCTTATAATTCCTACCTATGATAATTACTGCCATGTGACAACTATTTCAATATATTTTGTTTTTTACAGAACCTCATAACAATTTAAAACATAAATTTACTTAGTGTGTCTAGTCTCATGAAATGACAAATTGCTAATTATTTTGAAACTATTCTTAAAACATTTTAACATTATCTGTGGATTGTTGTTAATTTTCTACCATAAAACCCAGGTTACCTTCAAATTAATTAAGCTGACAAAATGAAGAGTGGCTTGAAGGACCCAAGGTTTTACATATAAAGATCCTGGGAGGGGGCAGAATGACCACAAATTGTAAATGAGTAGCAATGTGATGAAAGCTTCTTTTTAAAACAACAACAGACACTTCAGCAATCTGAATGTGGAAGGAGAGTTATTGAAATGAATATTAATAATTAATTCCTTATGAGTGCCAGTTGCAAATCTCATTTGAGATTATAATAACATAGTGTAAACATTTAAATTTGCTGAGCCAGCATGTTACGTGATGGATTAGCTGAATGAGTTGAGATTATTGAATCTAGAGAAGAGAAGACCGAAGGGAAACTGATGATGTGAGGAAGTGGCATTGTCTTCTGGTCTTTAGAATTCTTACCTGTTCAGAATACCTGTCATGGGAGTATTGTCCTGAATACTAAGAATTTTGAGAAATGTTATGGCATGCAGGAGGCACAGCTATTGAAAGAGCAGAAAAAAGTTATCTGAGCACAAGGAATCCCAGTGGAAAAAGACACGGGGAGTTACAAACACAGGGGGAAATATAGTAAAGGAAATGAAGACCCTTCCATCACCTGTGTGTTCTTTCATACACATGCATGCACACACACAGATCTCTACTGAAAGATGCTTCCCCACTACATGTATGTACATATATACAAACATTTAATGTTGCTTGTGAGTCTTTCTCCTAGGCATGCAGTCTTGCCCCCCAAGAGAGGGGGCTGCTACCCAAGAGACTGTCACTGTTCATTCACTCATGAAACATTTACTGAGTATCATTAGATAATGTGTGAAGAACTAGAGTTGTGAGGTGAATCTGTCCCTAACTAATCGAGGTCACAGTTCTGTGAGGAAGACCTGCAAGTCAGTCAGCAGCCACAGTTCAGGCAAGTTCACATCTGGGTACTATGGGAGTGAGGCATACGAGGGGCAGCTAACTCAGGCTGGGGGGAGCTTTCTGGGAGATGAAAGAGTCTAGTGAGTAGAGAAGGCTTCCTGGAACATGTGAAACCTGATTTAAAGATGAGCAGTTTACTAAGTGGACACAGGGTGTTTCAGCAGGGGAACAGCAAGTACAAAAAACCCAGAGGATTTATGAAACATGGAACAAACTGGGAATTTAGAGTAATTCAGAATGTTTGGTTTGTAGGAGATTTGGGGGACATAATGAGAGATGAAATTGGAGTGGCAGACAGGAGCTGTGTCATTAAGGATATGGGGTTAGGTGTAGAGTTCTGGTTTTAGTGTTAGAGTTCAGACTTTCTTCCAAAGATCATAGAGAAAGAAAGATCATTTGTAAATAGCATGGAAAATAGACTTGAAGAGCCAAGACTTGAAGTGGGGAGACAAGGTGGTAGGCTATTTGGTTGGTGGGAGGAGATAGATTGGGAAAAGCCAAGCAGGAGTCCCAGGTTTCTGGCTTGGACACTGAGTGAATTATAGTGCCATTCATTCAGATAAGAAATCCAAGAAGCCAGTCAGGGTAGCATTAGAGTGTGTGTTGGTGCCTAATGCATAAACTCAGTCATGGACTTGTTTGAGGCACCCAAGGCAGCTCTGGGTTGTCTTCTAGAAACCCATTACCCTGCATAACCCTGGTCATGCCAAAGAAATATGGTCTGGTGAATTAGCCCTAGTGTCTTCTGAGTCAAATGGTGACATTATATTCTTTTGCTGAGGGAAGGCTCCCATGACAGAAGGATGTCTTAGGATTGGTTACCCCCAAGTCTTACCTTCTATAATTTCAAAAGTTCTGACTGGCAGAGAGTGACGTCAGCATGATGGCGGAGTGAGCTTTCCTGTGCACTCTTCCCTCGACAAGATACAACAAAAGGAACAGTCACAGACCAACAACGGAATGCCAGACAGTGAAAAGCTAGAGCGGAAAGATCCACACTGCCGCACATCTAAGAGTGGAACATGCTGGGCCCCCAGAGGAAGTGGGGAGAGGTAAGGAGAACTCCTCTGCCTCCCCATCAGATCAGCGATCCCGGTCCGCAAGGCTCCCAGAGAGGGGGGAGGGGCGGCCCTCGGCAGAGAAACTGTAGCTCTCCGGACTCTCTCAGCCAGTGGGAAACTCCCACACAGAGGACTCAGAAGAGCCACAGGCCTACCATCAACATCTGAGCACCCCAGAGAGCGGATAAAGAGGGGCAAGCGAGAAGCCTCCCACGTCAGGGACCCAGAGGGCAAAAGAGAGAGCTCCCCCCTCCCCGCAAACCGGACCCTGCAGCTCAACCGACCAGACCAGAC